ATCTAGTGCTGAGTGAGAAGTATTGGTCTGGGCAGGCCTGTTGCAGAAGCAGAAGGTAACAGCTAGAAGACACAGAAGGGGCACGTTGGTAACCTCAGAAGAAACTGCAGGTCAGCTAATGCTGAGGAGGGAACAGAGAGTCCCAGGGAGAAGAGGCAGAATAAGAACAGTGCAGCCCTATGGAACGTAAATGGGGCAAGAACAAAGAGAAATGGACCAAGGAGTTCAAAGCCCCAGGCACAGGCACACAGCATAACCTGATGGCCAGCAGTAGGGAAGCAGTCATTGGGCAGTAACCCTCAGGACAGGAAGAGTGCAACAGAGCTCTCAGGCTGCCCTCTTGAGGAAGCAAAAGGAGAGAAAGCACCATCTCATACACCCACCCTCGCCAGGTCACCATTGCTACTGTCCACTGCCCACTGCCCAGACCACTGAGGCCATCCCCACTCTGCAGAGACCCCTGGGGACTGGCTATTCAGGACTGAGGCTCAGAGGGAGACACGCGTGAGCACCCACCGTCAGCAGACAGGCAGGGAGAGGAGCTCTGAGGGGCTTCGGACACGTCCACTCCCGCCGGCTTGGGGGATGGGCCTGCAGCTTCTGAGCTCGGGTCCTGAGGAGAGGGCCCGGCTGAGTCCGGTGGGCGGTCCTTGGCAGCGTCATTTCCATCTGGCTGGGGCGGCTTTCCCTGCGAGGAGCCTGGAGCTTGCCGGAGGTGGTGTTTCAGCCTGGTGCCCGAGGAGAGGAGGGTCTGGGTCCCGGTGGTTGCTCTCCTCACCTTCCAACCCTGGAGTCCCGGAGCTCGGAGCAGCCCCCGCCGTCGCCCTGGGAGGAGCCTCTTCTTGAGGCTCTGGACTGCCCGGGCGTACAGCATGGCCCGGACTGCACACTCTGCAGCCATTGGCTTCTGACCCGCTCCTGGCGAGGTCTGGCTTATCCGCTGTGCTTCTGCCAGTTTCAGCTTGTAATAGTTATACTCCAGACTACTGTCATCAGACAAAAACCTATATAACGAAACAGGCACAGCAGGACATTGCTAAAACACCAGCATGCGCACATCATTGCTGCAAATACACTTCTGCAACTCTTTTCTACATGATGGCTTCTCTACTGTCGAAGGTTCCAGTCGGCTCCACCAAGGATCCAGAGCTGGTCCCAGGTCACCCATTTTGCCCAATGACTGCAGGGCAACCAGGAGCTTTGAGCGGTGGTAGAATCCTCCTCCACTTCTGTCATCAGCGGCCATGAAGGACTCATAGCTCCTGGAGGCTCAGCTACACAAACCAGTTACGCTGGAGCCATGGAAGCATTTTGCTGCCAGCACACGACAGGCACTGCTCCTGGACTCCATTTTCGGAAGGTGACACCCTTGAAATGGTGGGCGCTCAGTGACCTTTTAACTATATCATTTACTCTAATAAGAAAGTACTGTATTTATGATGAACATTTTAATTTTAAAAAGTTCTATTCATGTGAAGAGGCAATAAGGCAAAAGGAAGACAGTTTAACAAATAGTAGCAATAAATCACCAGTAGCTGCTGTGACATATCCCTCATCTTATACACATTCTTTGCATGTATATCGCAGCTCATCCTTAAGCCAGGACAGCAGGGATGCAGACTTCCAAGACTGAATGAGAGAGGGCCACAGGGCAGGTCTGCAGCAGGGCTGGTGCTTGAACCCTGATGAACCTGATTCACCCTAATGTTCTTCCCAGTGGTCAACACCACTGCTCAAAATAAACACCTTACCCTTCGCTCTGGACACCTTCAGAGCGACGTAAATGTTGCTGTCTGCTCTACGGCAGGGATTCGGAGGGCTGATATTTAAAGACCTACCAGTAAGCAGGGTCCTCCTTGAGAAGAGCTCTCTCTTTAGGAGACAGGCTGCCTCCAACGACACGTGTGACCAACTGATTGATGATGTCCACCACCTTGTGATCTGCTCGCTGGGGGACAGCTAGAACACACAAAAGGGCTTTTCTGAGAAACACTGGACCACATGGTGACTGGGAACACCAGGACAGAGTCAGGGGCTTAGGATGGAGCTTAAGCAGGCACTAGCAACTGAAATTCTCACTCATGAGAGACCAGCTTTGAAAAGAGGAAAGCAGAGTGTTATTCTAGAAACCAATGTATACAATATCCTCCCAAAAGCTGTAACAGCGTATCCACCAGGGCAGAAACAGTTACAGGCTTACAATAACACTACAGAGTAACGTATGTATATGTTCTACAGAAGGAAATAGCATGCAGCACTCCATACCACTTCTCATGTATCATTTAACTTGAATGTTCACAATATTAAGGGAAAATATAAAGAGATAACATGTATTTCGGTATAAAATATATAAAACATTTGTTTAAATTATGATTCCCAATAGTAAGGAGGGAAGAAAAGACACATAAATATGGAGACATAGAAAAAGAAAATATACCAGGAAGTTAACAGATGTTATCTATGGGTGGTAGATTTATCAGGATTTCATTTTCTTTGTGCTTTATCTACAAAATATAAACATACATGTGTTCTGTCCCCAGAAAACATACATATATAAACTTACAAAGAAAAATTTCCCAATTAAAAAAGTCAATGGCCCCAAGTAGAAATATTTGCTGATGTATGAAAACATCTTTAAAGTGTGAATTTCTTCCAATATGACTATAATTTACGACGTCACCAATAACACAGGAGAACATGTGTCCTCAAATAATAAGACTGTGTAGTTTTCTGATATTTGCTAGTTTTAATAGGACAGAATGGACTACTTGTTCACTCAGTCAATAAAAGCCACCCCTGAACTGGAGGTTTTCGTTTGTTTTGTGGAGTGACTGCATTGTCCTGTTCCTGCCTATGTCTGAGTTATAACTTTGAGTTATTTTAAACATCAGTGGGAGCTCCTACACAGGATAAATCAATCTTGCAGCTGTTATGTTTTTGCAAGAATTTTCCTTTTGAAATTGTTTTCCTTTCTTTTTGTTATTGGCTCTCATTTTATAGAACTGCTAATTGTACATGATTTTACAGAAAATTAAGCGTTCTAAATCAGCAGCTTTCAGAAACAAATGCCAATAAGTTGGTCACTGCAACCATCTCTAGAGAAAATGACCATAGCAAGGGCCAGAAAGTGGACCCCAGCAATCCTTCTCCTGAGACTATATCCTTTTAAAGGAGGATTTAAAAATAAAAATTAAAAATAGAAATAATGAACAAATTAACCAAAGATGTCATCCCAGTGTTTCTAACATACTGTAATGAAAACAGCGGTGGGGCAGTGCTGGTGCGTCCACCCGCTGTCCAGATAGCCAAGACTTACAGATGCCAATTACAAGGGGACCGAGCTCTGCTAAACCTCAGAAGCCTGTAGTAAAAGGCAACATGAGTCCAACATCAAGGGAAAGGTGAGATAATTTATGTTAATATCACGATGCAGTGAGAGCTGTAAGAACACAGGAAGGGCTTTTGACAATCTTGTCAAAGAGTAGGTGGTAGTACAGTGGGGCCTTGACTTACGAGCATCCCGACTAACAAGTTTTACGAGATACGAGCCATCTCTCGGCCGATTTTTTGCTTTGAGTTGCGAGCTAAAATTCGGGTTACGAGCCAGCTTCAGATACCCCACCGCTAGTTGGTGCAGCGAACGTCACAGTGAATGCCACTACATCAGCCCAGCGTCACGCGTCTTACTCGTTAACTTTATGATTTGACATACGAGCAATTTGAGTTACGAGCTCTGTCACGGAACGAATTAAACTCGTAAGTCAAGGCCCCACTGTATTTTCAATACAGCAGGACTATACTGGCAGACCCACCTGCCTACCAGCACCATGAGGGAACAGTGGTGAGCAACTTTAAGTTACGGGTGACTTTTTCCTCCAGTATTATTGTTACACTGACTTTCTGTTCCATCACTTGGGGGCTGTACTGAGGAAGGGGGCCTGTTTCGGTCCTGAGCCTGCTTCTGGGAGTAGGTGTAGCCAAGCACCTGTGGTGGGACCTACCAGTGCTAGTGCAGTAGGTGCTCCACCAGTCTATAGAGGAATGAAGAGATCCAGGAACAAATGGGTTGGGGCAATGGAAGTGGAAAACGAAGTCAGTAGGAAAGAGGACATGACCACTACCTACGTGCACGAGCCCTCAGAGGTTTAGGCTTAGAGCAGTCATCCTGAGAGCTAAGGAGTAGGGACAAGGAACACCAAACAGCGAGTCATGTCTATTACCTCCTTATTGGCCCTCCCCCCCGTAAACCAGCTGTTAACTGCAGATCATCAGGTGTACCTAAGCGATCGGTCAACCCTTAGCCAGTCCAGAAAAGTGAGTGGGTGACTCTGTCATCCGGATCAACCAGGTTGTCCATCCCTCAATGCAACTCAAATACAGCCTCCTTTTGGCTTCCCTAACTCCCCAGGCTGGGACCTCTCCTACATCCCCTTTAATCCCAGCATTGGAGGGGCTGATTTTGGTGATTTCAGGAGTCTGGGGTCTTCTCAGAGACAGTTCCTAGCATTTCCTTCTCCTTCTAGGAATACCTGAGATTGGGGGGGGGGGGGTGCTGTTTGAACTGAGCTTTTTAACTTTGGCTGCAGGATAGTAGGAACCTCCAGAATACGCAGGCAAAATTGTTAAAAATATATGTTGGTGGTGCTTTTTGTTAAATTTCACCTGAGGATATATTTTTTAAAATATTTTTATTGATTTCAGAAAGGAAGGGAGAGGGAGAAATAGAAACATCAATGATAAAAGAAAATCATTGATCAGCTGCCTCCTGCAAGCTCCCCCCTGGGGATCGAGCCCGAAACCCAGGCACATGCCCTGACTGGGAATTGAACCGTGACCTCCTGCTTCATAGGTCGACACTCAACCACTGAGCCACGCTGGCTGGTTGGAGGATATTTTCTCCATTGCTTTTCTTTTCTTTTTCTTTTTGTTAATCCTCACCAGAAGATAATTTTCCATTGATTTTTTTTTTTTAAAGGGAGAGTAGAAGAGAGAGGGAAAGACAGAAAGAAACATCAATGTGAGAGAACACATCAATTAGTTGCCTCCTGCAAGAGCCTGACCAGGGCATGGGCTGGAGAGGAGCCTACAACTCAAGTACGTGTCCTTGACTGGAACTGAACCCGGGACCCTTTGGTCAGCAGGCCGATGCTCTATCCACTAAGCCAAACTGGCTAGGGCTCCATTGCTTTTCAGAGAGTGTGAAAAGGGGGAAATGTGTCTTGGGGGGAGAGAAACATTGATGTGAGAGATACATTGACTGGTTGCCTTCTGCACTTGCCAACTGGGAGTGGGGAGCAAACCCAAAAAAACCCAGATACTGTCCTTGACCAGGAATCGAACCTGTGACCCTTTGTTGCATGGGCTGACACTATAACCACTGAGCACACTGGCAAGGGCTGTATGTGCATTTTTCATGGTAAGGGCTGTGGCTTTTCATCAGATTCCCAAAGGAATGTCTAAAGACTCTTGTGTGAGCTGAAGATTCCTCATACATGCTCATGGGACGAATGCAGACAGACATGTACACTAGCCAATGCAAGTTTTCTGCTAAAATTCTGATTTGTTTTCAGTTGGCTAAAGAACTTCTTGTAAAATCTCAAAGAGTATAAGAGATATTACCAAAAAACCCCACAAAAAACAAAAAACAAAACACCCCACCATGAGCCGTGCCTGGTGTGGCTCAGTGGTTGGAGCACTGGCCCGAGCACCAAAGGGTTGCAGGTTTGATTTCCAGTCAAGGGCACATGTCTGGCAAGTTCATCCCCAGTGGTGTGTGCAGAGGCAATCATTGATGTGTCTCTCCCTCTCTCCCCCTCTCCCACTCTCTAAAAATCAATGGAAAAAATATCCTTGGGTGAGGATTACAAAAAAAACTAAAACCCCCCCAACAAAACCCATATAAACAAAAAACAAAAACCAACAACAACACCCATGAAGAAGAAACAAATCACAACAAATAGAAACATTTGCTGCTTTCCTTACCATCACTTAAACCACTCAGAGCTCGGGCCTGAATTTCAGGTTTGGTAGGAGGAACCATTTTCTCATCTTGAGTTGGCGCAGGTTCGGCTTTCTTGACCTGGAGTGGACACCCACTGCTGACCAGCCAGGCCTTCAGATGGTCTATGTACTCTCTCCCAAACAGAGTGGAGTCTTCAAAGTTGGGAAATGCGGCAGGAGAGGGAGCTATATCTTGGAGGCCGACAGCCTCTAAGATTTTCTCTTGCCGGAAAGAAGAGGCCAAGGAGAACGTCTGTCCCAGAAGGGCTAGAGACTTCCGGCAGAGAGAATTGGTGGTCTCTAGGGCAACGGCCAAGTCCAGGGGATTACTAAGGGTCTTCATTTTGACACTCAGCTCGTAGGCATTACAGGCCATGAGCAGGGGCGTGACACTCTTTAGAAGCCGGTCTTGAAGCCTCATTATGTACTTGTCAAAGGGCTTTATGATTTCAAAAAAGCAATTTTTGGTCTTCACAGCACCTTTGTCTAAAAGCATGTTTAAAAACTCATTATCAACTCTGGGTGTTTTCAAAGCAGAGTGCTTTAAAAATTTGATAGTAAAAAAGCAAAAATCTCTGTGCTCTGGTTTTAAGGAGCATTTAAATGAGGCAAGCATTTTAGCACAGGTTTCAGTTTCAAGTTCAAAGAGAGTCTGGAAAAGCTGGGAAAATTTAACATCATCTTTTATGGTGTGAAATCCTGCCCATTTGATTATTTCTATCCCAAATCTTGAAAAAACATCAGACTTATCTATGAGGTCAAAACTCATCTTTCTTCTTGGGAGACGAATGTCCTTTAGATTGAGCCCCAGAGGGATCTTCGGAGGGGGGAATTGGATATCTTCTGTCCCTGGGTTTGCACCTAGGGTCACATCAGAACTTGGGGTGGTTTTCTGGATTTGGTTAGTGCCCTGAGTTTTGGGAGTAATATGGTTTATAGTGGGTACTTTTTTTGTGCTCACGTTCCTCAGTGTGACAAGTTTCCCAACCCCCCCTTTAGGTGCAAGCAGGCCCTGAGACTCCCCCTTTCCTAGGAGGGCACCCTCCTGATCAACGATGTTCAGACCTCGGCCTCTGCCCTGGACCTGGCCACTGGCCCTGAGCACAGAGTCTGCTTCCCCGGGACGGTCCACGTCATAATCCCGACTCTCTTTCTCCAAATACTCTTTCTCAATCAGCCTGGAGGACCCAAAGTCTCCCAGTAGTGCAGAAGGACCAAAATTATACTCCTGTGACCAAGACGATTCTTGAGAAACTGGGTGGCCAAGGTCTTGTTCCCAAGAGCTACGGAGTGTAAATTTCCAGTCTGGAGAACGGAAATGTCCCAATTTCCGGTGGCCAAAGACCTGATCTCGGGAATCAGGGTGGGGAAATTCCAGATCCCGGCCACATTCTTTGCGAAAGTAGTTGTCTTCATTTACAGAAGGGTTGTTTGACCTGAAGGAAGGTCCTGGAAATACATCACCTCTCAGGCCTTCTCTCCCAGCATCTCGAGAGTGAGCCACAGATCCGCCCAGAGTGTATCTGCTGTCACTGTGAATGTCATCATACATATCTGCTCTGACTCTTGGCAGTGTCCTTATAAGATCTGAAATAAACAATCCAAAAGGAAACACAAAGGTACTTTAGACCAGAAGGTACAAATGGACAGTCCATAGACTACCAATCAGCTGGAGTGCTTTATCTGCCTGAGTGCATTTTAAAAATTCCTATTTGTTGCCATTATTTTAAATGTGTGTGGTTTTCCTTAAATCTGGAATTACTACTTTTTATTCAAAAAGAGACCTACAAGCACTGGGCCTGCATCTATCCTAATGATACTGCATCAAGGCTGGGGAGCAGTGCCCCTTAATCACTCAGATCTCCTGCCCTTGCTCAGCAGGCATCTGGTTTACAAGCCCTTTTTTATACTCAGGAAGGGTGTCTGGCCCTCAAATAACCTGGATTTTTAAAAAATATATTTTTATTGATTTCGGAGAGGAAGGAAGAGGGAGCGAGAAATAGAAACATCAATGATGAGAGAGAATCATTGATTGGTTGCCTCCTGCACACCCACTACTGGGGATGGAGCCTGCAACCCAGGCATGTGCCCTTGACCAGTCCACAGGCTGACACTATCCACTGAGCCAAACCAGCTAGGGCAATCTGGATTTTCTTTTCTTTTTTTTTTACTATGACTGGGACACTTGTGTATTTCTACCTCTATCATGAAGCACACAGTTTTTTTTAGAGGTTGCCACCTTCCTTGCCTTCTAGTAGGAACTCTCAGCCCATACTGCCACCGAGGCAAAAGCCACATCTGACACTACCCACTACAGCAAACTGGGCCACAAGCTAAGCATATGACCCAAAGCTGGCTGATATACTCCCTCTGAAAGGTCCACTGGGCCAATGAATCCTCTGAAAAAAACAGAGACTAAAGTAGGTAAGAGAAAAGGCAGAAGCTAAACAAGCCATCAAGAGAGGCCACAATGGGAACTGAATAATATGTGATTTTGTTCTCCCCTCTGTGTAGAAATGAGGAAAATAGGAACCTATATTTGCATTTGCTTATTCATGTACAAAGAAACTCTCTAAGAAGGTAGGAACATAAGCAAACTATGAGCCTCAGGGAGACTTTGTACAGAGTGCGTTTCTAACTTTTTTTTTTTAAATGTTTTTTGATTTCAGAGAGAAAGGGAGAGGGAGAGAAAAAAATATCAATTATGAGAGAGAATCATTGATTGGCTGCCTCCTGCACGCCCTACACTAGGAAATGAGACTGCAACCCAGGCATGTGCCCTGACCGGGAATTAACCGACCTCCCGGTTCATAGGTCAACGCTCAACCACTGAGCCACACTGGCCAGGCTCTTTCTAACTTTTAAATCAGAATCTATTACCTAGTCAAAAGTCAAATGAAAAGAAAAGGGACAGAGAGATGCCATGAGATAGTAATGGGCTGAAACCAAAGGAAGCCACATCTTTATAGAAATCCAAGTTTATTTGGTCAGCAGTACTTACCGAGCACATACTGTGTGTGGGCACTGCTTTAGGCACTGAAGTTAACAATATACCGGGAGGCTTGGCATGAGGGACCACACTGTGGGGGAGCCTTCTAGGCAGAGGGAGTGTAGGGACAAATCCCTGATGTATGACCAGTAGGGAATGAATATACCAGAGGGAACGAAGGGCAAAGTGGTAAGAAGGAAGCTCCTAAACTCTTGCATATGGGAGTCCCTTTGGGACCCCCAGGCATCCTGATTTAATTAACTAACTAGCGTGGGGGTGTGACCTGGACATCAGGGTTTTTAAAAGGTCCCAAGATGATTCTAACATGCAGCAAATTTAGGGAGATACAGATGGAAGGAAGGTACAAGATCAAGCCTGGCCTTCAAAGGGGTGCTGGAAGAGTCTGAGTAAGATGGAAAGCCACAGACGGGCTCAGAGCAAAGGAATGATCTCATGGGCTACTGTGAAGGCAATAGACCAAAAGGGAAGAAAGTGAATGTTGATGTTTCAGCAAGGAGTCCACTGGGATGATCTAGGTAATAATGACTACTGATGATGTGGGGAGGGAGGTAGCATTAGAGGTAGAGTGGTGGCTGGTTTCTGCACAACAGGATTTTCTGATGACTTGTAAACCAAGGCATTGAAAAAGTGCAGAGTAGAACAGGGACAGAGAAAGTCCAACTGATGAACCATGCAGCTCTGTGACAAAGAGATGGTTCCAGAACTATCTAGCAACCTGCTTGGTTATTAGTTCACCCCTCCCCAAACTTTCTTTTATTTATTTATCTTTTTAAATATATTTTTATTGATTTCAGAATGGGAGGGAGAGGGAGAGAAGGAGAGAGCGAGAGAGGGAGAGAAGGAGAGAGGGAGAGAGAGAGAGAAATATCCACGATGAGAGAGAATCATGGATTGGCTGCCTCCTGTACACCCCGTACTGGGGATCAAGTCTGCAACCCGGGCATGTACCCTTGATCGGGAATCAACCCCAGGACCCTTCAGTCCACAGGCTGACACTCTATCCACTGAGCCAAACCAGCTAGGGCTCCCAAAACTTTCTTGAGGTAACAATATAAGTATTGGTGTTGGAGTCTCATACCAAGATTTATGTCTCTGTATACAGTGTGTCCCCCAAAAATGTATAGAGACATAAATCTGACAAAATCAGGTGATAGCTCAGTTTCAAAAATGAAATGTATTTTAATAAACACTGCCTTTATAATTATACAAAGTGTGTGTATATATTTTTGGGGGCACCATATACATATACATGTATATAAAGTACATATAGGTATATGTCTGTGTGTGTGAATATATATATATACATATATATACATATATATATGTATATATATATATAAACACATAAGTATTCTGGATTACATATTGCTAAAAGAATTGAAGGATGCACAGACTACTGCAAATTTAGTTACTTCTGAGGTTAAGAAAGCAGCTAAAAAGACTTTTACATGTTACTCTTAACCATTTCTCAAGTCTTCCAATCTTTTATAACAGCTATGTTTCTGTGCACTGCTCATGTAATTTTTGAAAACTCCATCAATTGGTTTCTCCAGGTCCAAAGCATGTAACAACAGTTATCCCTACTTAAGACTCACTCAACCAATGCTAACCCTCCTCCATGCCAAGGCTGGCTCAGGGGCTGGTGCAGCAGCAAACAGCACAGGCCCAGCGATGAGGCCTGGAGGAGGCCAGCCCATAACAGAGGAGTGAGCACACAGTGTATTTGGGGCCGGGAATGGCAACCAAATCAACCTCAAGTCCTGCTGGGGCTTCCTGAAGAAGGCATGCCGGAGGGAATCAACCAGGCAGAGCTGGGATGGGGAGGGATTCAAAGCACAGAGAGGTGGCACAGTATCACTGAAACACAAAGCCCAAGGCAAAGAGTAAGGGTTGGGAACCTTGTGCATGGTAGTGAGGGACCTCCATGGCATCCTGTAATCGTGTGGGCACCGTTTTTGATTCGGCTGGCATGGTGTTTCAGAATTTTCCAAAGGGAAACATTTTCAGGCAGGGCCTGTGTCAGCAGCTCCACAACCCCTTGCACCACCCTTCAGTCTTGCACACATCACTGTTACCTCGCTGCTCCTGCACTTATCTGAGGATGTAACCCCAAAGTGGGAAGCCCCGAGAGTCCAAGCAGGGCCTTGGCCCAGCAAGGGTGGCATGAATAGATCTGTAGTCAGGACAGATTTGAGAGGAGTGAAGCCAGAAGCTGAGAGGCTGTTCAGTAGGAGATTATTGAAGTAATCCAAGCCAGAACTGGTAAGAGCTCAAACCTGAGCAGTGGTGGTGAGGATGGAGCCAGAAGATTGATTCAACAACCTTTCTTTAGGTGAGGGAGGCTTTCTGGGGAGAAGCTCCTGGTAATGATAATACCTTCTTCTACATAGTGATTTAACATGCAGATCCAGAGAAAACTTCATTTCCCCTTAAACAAATAGGAATATAGGGCTTGAAATCCTCCTGCTCTGACCCTAAATGCCTCATTACCCGCCCCCCTCGGCTCCCAATCAAGCACTTTAATTTACCTTGAGCTTTAAATTGGAGAGCTTCACCTACAGCTTCACCACTGGGGTCCATGTGATATCTGTTAGCTTTTTCTTGTAGCACGGCATCAAAAGTCTCCTGTGCAATTCGCCTTGTAGCCATGTTTCTCTGACCTGTAGCAGAGGAAAAAAGACACTAAGAATGACAACGAATGCTCAGAGAGCTGGCTCTCCATTTCACCTAATCTTCAAAGTAAGGAGGCAGTAACCATAATCCAGCAAGGTACTTCAGAGAAAGGTCCGATTATTTCTAGGGGCCTCTGCTCTCAGGAAGCTCACAGGTATGTGTTGACTGAAAAGGAGCAAGACAAGCATGGTGATCTTGGACAAGTGATTTTGTTTCTCTAAGACCATTTCCTCAGAATCCTTGGAAAGCTCTATGAAAAAAAGTCCTCATCTCCTGGGGTTGCTGGAGGACTGCGAGAAGCAACACACATAACTGACGGTAACAGTGTAGGGGAGTGGGAGCATAACCCTCTCACATGGCAGTTAGGAAAGATGTGACTGTTCCCGTTTTCTAAACAGAGTCAACGACCCTCCAGGAATCCCTGACTAGTAACAATGAGCTGGTGACAGTTGTAGGGAAGGAACTCCCACGACCTCATTTACTTGCAACAACCCAATGAAGTGGGTCCTGTTATGAATGACATCCATCAGAAGAGGAAAGGGGAGCCTTGAGCTAAGTGACTCACCCAAGGTCAACCATCCAGGGCTGCAACCTGGCAAACAACACTAGTAGCGGGGGACAAAGCCTGAAGACTAAATAGAAAAAGGCCAAGAAGCAACACGGAGGAATCCCCGGGTGGCCCGTCCTTAACCACCAAGATATCCCTTCCAACTTGAAACCTCCAACCCAAGACCCAAGCCTGCGCCTGCCTTGCAAGTCTTCCTTGTAACCATCGCCTCCTTTTCCATCCTTTAGTCCTTTTTCCTAGGGCGCCCCTTGTTCTCCTACTGGCGAAGGGAAGGGTCTTCGGGCCAGGCGGCCCGGGACCAAATCAAGCGACCTAACCTTTCTATACCTCCGATTTGACCATCTATGGAATGGGCAGCCAGTGATGGGAGTTGCTGCAGGGACTGAACCCGTTAAAAATGGCAAAGAGCCGTAGACAGCGCCCTGCCTCCGTGATCGCCTCACGCGAAAGGCCGCTTCGGGCTCGGGTGGAATGAATGAGCGAGGAAATGAATGAACCCCTTCGGGTGCGGTCCGCCTGCTCCCGGTCTCCGAGGATGAAGAAAAGGGGGCCTCGGGCCCCAGAGGCCGCA